TATATATATAAATTTTAAGGTTTCCTGATAAAATTACAAAACTTCATCACATTTACTAAATTTTATCACACATTGTAAAATTATATTTTATTGTTAATTTTACCAAAATCATTAACAAAATGCTACGGTGAAACTGACAGAGCTTTTCGGTATTGCAAGGTAAATTTTGTCTTATTTTCGTAGTTTAAACCATATTTTTTTTTCTCATTGTGGATAAATCAAACACGAATAATTGGGTGTTTGGTGTAGTTTAAATCAAGTTTTTAGATAGAAAGAAAAAAAAATTAAAATAGTACCTGCTTGTGAATTTAGATGGGAGCCTATAGATCTAACCCCTAAGGTATTGTGAGTTTGTTCATACTCTAGGACTTCTTGGTATATTAATTCTGAAAATAAAAACAAAACTATTATAACAGACATAATGTAAATGGTAAGATTCGGTGCGTTCCCTGTGTATGAAGAAGAAAAGTAAAATTTAAGGACAGAACATACGTTTCTGAAAGGTTTGTGGGAATAGTAGTTATCGACAATGTCAACCTTCATTTATGAAAAGGTACCCCACCATAGAATTGAGTTAACCTGTCTTATATACTAGCAAATTGGAATTATATTTTTCTAGTGATAGACACACTACAGTACTTCCCCTCCAGAGTTATATCTATGATGGAATTCGATGGACGGATACCACTAGTTGATTCATTACTGTTTTTTGTGAGAAGCCGGGAGAGCTGTATTTAGATCACCGTACTTTTGCTAATCGTGAGAGCTGTATTAAGTTCACGGTCGTGGTTGCTTCTGTGTTGTCATTAACAGTCGAGTGTATACAGGCCAACATTGCGAGAGAGCGAGATCGAGAAGCAACAGCGTGAGGAGGACAATGTCGCAGCCACAAGTAGCAAGTACCTCCTCTCCTCCCATCCACTATTGGGGTTGGGGAGAAACCGAAAAGTTCTCCCTTTTTATTTATTGTAGGTTTGTTCTGCATTTTGTATCATCCATGTTAATTAAATTTGTTCAACAACCTGTTCAGAGGTGACGTACCTCCTAACTGCAAATTTGCTTTTTATGAGCATGCACTGAATCTTAGTACATATGATGCTCTGCTATATCTGAGTATGCTGCTCACCCGGTTTTTTTTGTTGGTATAATATACAGCACTGTCACACTCTAGTTACGTATTTGAAGAGTTGGAACTCTTCTTCTTCCTATATTCTTTGACCCAAGGTCAAGAAAACTAGGATGGAACAGATGGGCTTGGCTCTCCATTGGTTGTCTCGTCGATGAGTTTAGTTTTTCTTATAAAAATTTCACTTATACTTGTCCTGTCGTCTTTTTTTGAGAATATTTAACAGTACGCTAGTTTTTAATAATAAAAAAACATTAATTTTTTACTCCTCTTACTTTTTGTCACTCACTTTACAATTTTTCTTCATGTGATTTCCACATTCCATTGCGCTATTTCTTATATTTCAATTCATTTTCGCCTATTAATATGGAAAAAGTAAGGGGAAAGCTGGGGATTGTTTTGAAAGTTGTTGTGATTTGGGTTTACTATGGAAACGTGAAGTACCCTTGTTGCCTCCGAGCTGTTCATAAGCAGCTCTTTTGAATTCACTGAAGGAAAGAAGGGGTCAAAAAGTTAAGAAGCTGAAACTTAACTATTGTAAACTCTACTGTTTCCCATGTATTTTTTTATACTGAATCAAATGACACCAAAATCAAGTCAGAACAGGATCAAAAGCTTCAATGGGCATAGTAACTATGAAGTATTCAACTTGTCTATATCGTGAAATTTAAGTTACTTTTGAACCTAACTTTTTGGACCCCTCAGATAATTCAAGATAGCGTTTTTAGCTCATTTTGGGAGAACGGATAAACTTCAGGCTACCATATTTGACTCAAAACAAAACTTTTAAAATAATATAATCTTTTCCTAAATTATTTCCGTATTCAACTGGCTTATGGTAACAACATATTGGCTTACACACATTTATTGAAGTTTTTAAACGTTCTACTTTTTAGATATTAATTGCATTTGCAGAACTGATTCGGAATGCAGAAAATCGGGTTAAATGTAGAGATGTGATCCTTGTTCATTTGAATTTCTAATAATATCTGTTGTGGTTGTTTTCGTGTCCATGGATCTTCAGATCATATCAAAGGTCTGGACTATTGCGGCCGCCAGCTTCGGCACCACTTGACTATAGAGAACAGCTCTTAGATTGTCCTCAACTGGTACCCCTCCCAATTTCAAAACATGTGTGGTGAGTGCGGGGCACTCGAAAATGTGTTTTGGTGTTAACATGACATCCGGGCAGTTTCTGCAGGGAACGTATGTCCTGGTCTTGCATAATATCTGTTGATAGTTTTCTTAAGTTTCAGATAATATTTAGAAGCATCGAAAAGATTTAATTTAACTAATTAATATTTCAATTAATATTAATTAGTTAAACTAAATCTTTGCTTCTGAATTCAATTAAATAAAAGATTAAATAAATAAATTGGAAATTAGAATTTGTCTTCAAACTATAAAGACGCTAATAAAAATAAGGAATTATCCATACTTGGTGGGAAGAAAATGTACCAGATAATGAAAATTTATCAGAATTATCGAAATTTTCAATTGTGTTTCGTAATTGCGTAGTTTGTAAACATTAAATATGTAGGAAGTAGTGGATGGCTTGAAGTTTTATGGCTCAAGAGACGGGAGTAAGTAAGTACTTACGTTTTAGCATTCTCAATGCAGAAAAAAAAAAAAAAAACGTTTCTGAAACAGCCCGTTGTGGGCCAGATGGTTATATTAGATAACATCTTGTATAATGAAACACATAAACAAATACAATATCTATATACGTATACACTACATTATCCATTGTATATTACCTTTCCATTGTTGAACAGTGTGCTCTCGTTCATCGACAGAGTGGTCGTATGGAGCAGGAGCAGGCTAAAAAACAATATGTAAGAAAATAATTAATGTCACATAAAGTAAAATTTCACAGTAATTGTAGCATTTTTTTAAAAAAAAAATTGTTTAGACTTATTCGTCTCTTTATTGCAATGTAGTTTTTGTTAAAATATAGGAAATATAGGAGTAAAAGTGGATTTGATTTTTTTATATCCCTTTCATTATAAAACCATTATTTATAATCTCTTTCATACACAGAAACGTTTGATGATTTGTTTAATTTAAATGTTGTTTATTTTTATTAAATGAAAAATAAATTTTGATTAAATGACAGTTTAAAAAATTAGTTCATTGCACCCCTAATTTTTTAACAACTATTTTTTAGGAAATTTAAGAAAAAAAAGTTACTGATATGTTATTTACTAATTGGTATAGATGGCTATTATTGTAACAATAGATTGAAATGTTAGTAAACGATTCCTTTTATTTATAAGTGAAAACATTTCTTGAAAAATATTTTTTTATGTGTAATTCAAAATTAAAATCCTCTGTTACATTATAATAAACGAATTTCAATAAATTAAATTAGAATATTTAATGTACATAATAAAATTAGAATATTATTTTTGAAATACATTTTTTAAATTTGAATTTATACCAAATTGTTTAATGGCATATTCTACACTATGAAGAAATTCCGGACCAAATTACGGTATGAAGTACTGTTATCCGTTATCTGTCTGATTATCCATTACATACTATACCATAATTTTTACTTCAATATTCATCTAATTAGAGTGTTTCAGAAGTTTTACGTTAATAATTACTGTAAAAATTACGGTATGTCAGATTTTTGTTCCTTAACATGTTCCAGTAAAAATGGATTTTACTGTAAAAAGCACCGCAGCTCTGAGTGCCGGTGCTTTTTACGGTAATTTCATCCGGAATTTTTAACACTGTAGCGAACTAACAAAATATTCCGTATTTATTTATTCATTAATTAATTTTATTAAGAAAAAGAAAAATATAGCATATGTAAGAGAATTCTTTAAATGTTGATTTTTTATTTACACGAGTAAACATTAAAAAAGCAAATAAAATATTTCAATAGGTTATTTTAATATCATATGATATCGGCAGTATTTTTTTTAAAAAGTTTTAATCATATTTAAATGAGTAACTATTCACATGCAAGTTAAATAAATAATCATGCATTTCATAGAATATAAAGCAACAGTGATTGCAAGCAATTGCATTTGCAAGTGCTAAAACACTACATTGCAAAGTGTGGTGCACATGTTTTGTTATTAGGTACTTTTCAATGATCTTTTTTACACAGAGGAAACAATTCTAGTAAAATTAAAGTACTGTATGCTAATAATATTTCTGGTAAAAATAACCCATAATTCGGGTTAATAAAAACAAAATGTGAAGGCATTCATTTGGTAATTTTTCCGTTCATGTGGTAACAGTTTGCCGGAAAATAATTTTTCAAAGTTAAATTTCTTATTTTCACACATTTAGTAAAAAATACAGATCTGGAAAGTAAATTTAATCAAATAACGGATTTTTATACCGTGCTCTAAGGTATCATGATAAAATTACCAAAATTTACTACATTTAACAAATTTCAACAAATATTATAAAACCATATTTTACTGTCAATTTTACCATAACCATTACCAAAGGGCTTTGGTCATGATAATTCGGTAATAATCATCAAAAGCGCACCGAGCTTTTTGGTGCTCCCATAGAGCCATAAAAACAGAAAATTTTACCATATTCTGATTTGTTCTTCGCATATTTTTTTTCATCTCAGGTTAAACTTATGTAAAAGATTGTCAACACAATCATAATATGATCATTCAATCATCAATTCAAAATAATCAAAATATATTATATTATACAGATTGTTATTTAAACTACTTTTTTTCGTCATTTTAATATAATACCTTGCTGAAATTGGAAAAAAAATTCAATTTTATAGTTATTTGAACTATTACTTGAATTTCTTTTATAGATAATTTAACTATTTTTATGAGGTTTAAAATGACTCTATCTAATTTTACTTCCAAATGTTTTTCAGAAAACAGTCATTTTTTTGTCATTAGTACAAGCATATTTGTCATATTTTACTGATAATCAATGAATATTCTTGCCAATTGCTTATAGTTTATTCGAGGTTCTGATCTGATTCAAATCAGATGATAAAGCATCATTACTTTTCAACTTGAAAATAACTGCAATGAATTTTAAATTAAATGAATATTTTCTTATGCATGTAATTGCCCATCGTCTTATAAATTTATATTTTTGTGATTTGTAACTCTGCTTTGTTTTTCAGCAAATGTTTTTCCAGCCATCAGTAAATAAGAACCATTACTTATAATCAAATAGTCTTCGGCACACAGCTATGCTCCTTCATCTTCAATTTGAAGCTGTGTGCTTTAATTGAATAAAAATTCTCATGAAGAAATTCTCATAAGAAATAGGTAATTTTTTAAAAAAATATTTATGCTGAACAAGCTAAGAAAATAACTTAACAGAATGATCGCTAATTTGCGAATCTAGTTTCACAAATATCCTCACAAAATTCCACCAATATCATCGAAATTTAGTACCAATGATACTTTTGTTTTGAATAAAAATGAATCATTGGTATCTATATTGTACAGATATCATGTCAATATTCTTAGGTATTCTTATAGCTGTACAACATCTGTAAAATGTAATGCTTTATTGTACTCTGTGCTTTTTCGGGAAACATTGAGTACTATTCTATGTTCAATAAATTTAAGTTTTAAAAATCAGTTGGTGAATATCAGACAAAGCATACATTTAATACTTGCTTGTGCTTGGCGGGATGAGTGCAGTGGGTGGGAGGCAAATAAAAGCGACACCGAGAAAGGGTTAATCTAGATCTAAGATAACTTACTGCTGTACTTACGGCATTTACTTCGGCTTCGTCGTACCACACGTTAATATATGGATGGAGTAGGGCGTTCTCGACCGATATCCTCTTCTCCGGGTCGATTACCAGCATCTTGCACAGAAGGTCTCGGGCTTGACTTGCTACAACGACCAAACAACTTTGTTAGTAAGCACTTTTCCTAAATAAGAGGGTCTTCATAATGAGGAAATCAAGTAGTTACAAAAAGTAGCGCAGAATGATGAATGATCGTTTAAATGAAATGTTAAATTAAAGTCCTAGTTAAATATAATGTTGAAGTTCTTGATTATTAGCATCTAGCACAGAAGGTCTCGAGCTTGACTAGATATAACCACCAAACACTTATCAGTAATGCTGTAACTTCTGGTGCTATTCTGCCGTCATAAGCAAAAAGGTGATTTTCTTTATTTCCATTTTAAATTTTCTGCCTTTTTAGGTTAGTAATACAGTAAAAAAGAGTTTCTCAAAATGTGCATACAAAGAGCAATACGTTTCGAAAAAAATATAGTCGAATTTGAAAACTCATATACTCTTTATTGAGTATAGTGACATACTCAGGGTTGAATAGTTTCAAAAATCATGAGCATCATGAAAAAATGACTCCTCATCTTCAAATGAGTCAAAGTTCAAATTTTAATAGTTGATAAAAATAAAATATTCGAATAGAAAATCTAATTAGGTACAAGTTTACTGCACTTCTCTTCATTCCAAATTTATTTCTCGAATGTCTTCAGATTGGTAATCAACACATTTCTACTTTGTCGACATGTTTTTAACAAATGAAGATGGATTCTCCAGAGCAGTTTCAATTTTGAGCAAGTCACTATGTTCAATGATGAGTATATAGGGTTTTCAAATTCGATTATATTTGTTTCGAGGCTATTTAGACACATTTTTGTTCAATTTTAGGAAAAATTTTTTTAGAGTGAATACTTATAAAAATATAAACTTATTCAATATAGTAAGTTTAAGGATTGCAACACAGCTTAATATTTCGAAAAAATAAAAATATTTTCATGTTGGCTCAACTGTGAAGATAATATTTTCCTTGTTAGGAAAGCAGTTTTGTTTGAAAAGAATTTCGTTTTAAGTCGGAATTTCAAGTGAACCAGCCATATGGCTTGGTACCAAATTACAAATCACACTGGACCATTTACAGACTTTATTGGGCATTGAGCTTCTAGTGAGTCTTCTACGCATGCAAAAGTGTATCGATATAAAATAAAATAAATTTTAAAATGAAATTTAGTTTTCTCAAAATTCATTCCTTTTTATTTTCTGAAATGTATTCAAAATTAGAATGGAATAAGTAATCAAACTACGCGCAATTACGAGACGGCATAACAACACTATTTCATTGTTTGGAAAATTGAAAATTTCAAAGCAATTTTTCTACCTTTGAATCAATTGAAATGTATTATAAACTTTGTTTTCATTAAAGTACAATAAGACTAATTAAAACGTTAAAATATTTTCCATATTGATAAGGTTTTAAGCTCACATGGCTACTTACGATGGAGAACAGTAAAATTGTTCTCTTTAAACTTATGAGTTGGTTTTGTCTAATCCAGCCGTCTAATTCGATTTTTTAAATTCAAAAATACCTAAGACACATTTGAAGTATTAAGTACAGTATGTGGCGTAACTACCACAACGAAAATTAAACATCAATTCACTGGTATATAAGACATGCTAACTTGATTCAATCATGAGGTACCTTTTGATAGATGAAGGTTGGCATGGTCGATATATACCAGTGAATTGATGTTTAATTTTCGTAGAGGTAGTTCCGTCACAATACTCCCCCACCAGAATCTTATCAGGGATAGAATTCGATGAATGGTTTCCACTTAGTTGCTGTACTTGTGAAAGACCGGGAGATCTGGAATTAAGATCACCGGGTTTTTAAGTACTGAATGTGAGAGGTGTATTAACCTCACGGAGTGGTCGCTCCTGTGTTGTCTTTAGCAGTCTAGTGTATGCTGGCCGACGTTGTGCGTATGTTCAATACGAGACTGAGCAGCAACAGAGTGAGGAGGTGGATGATGCCGCTATCACAAGTAGCAAGTCAACTGTTCAATGTGGATCATCCATAGAAGTAGGCGTTACTGTCGAGAGATTGCGAAGTAGGTGTTACTGCGTGATCAAATCACGTCCGGGTCACCAATGTGGGGGGCGGAGTTATCGACCATGCCAACCGTCATCTATCAANTAATGATAAAAGTTAAGTATCACTATTTTCAATAAGTATATTACAATATTTCTGTATGAATGTTTATCCTCCTATAAGAATATATGTATATAGTTGCAAAATCAATAGCAATCATTTGCAACATTCATTTATAAAGGCAATTAAGTGAAAATAATATATTGTCCGCTATATGCCATAAATTAAATAAAACAGTAGGTTTTTGACGGTTTTTACCAGTAAAAACACTGTTTTTACCACTGTCATGTCAAAAACCAGTTTTTGACGGAAAAAACCCAACCCTGATTAAAACTTTAAAATATTTTCCATATTAATAAGGTTTTAAGCTCACATGGCTACTTACGATGGAGAACAGCAAAAATTGTTCTCTTTAAACTTATGAGTTGGTCTTGTTTAATCCAGCCGTCTAATTCGATTTTTTAAATTCAAAAATATCGAAGTCACATGTGAAGTATCAAGTACAAGATATTAAAAAACTCATGTGCATTAAATAAAATAACAAGAAAGTATTGACCTTTGAGCCTGCTGTGTTCTGAGCTGTCGGCGGGGAAGAGTACGTCAGGGAACAGTTTCTCGAAAGCGTATCCCGTGTACTTGGGTCTGTTCTCGACGTAGTTCCGAACTGTGGGCTGAAGACGCTTCATAAACTCCTGGGACGGCGTGCCTAATTGCTCGATGATCTTGTTCCACTGGTCGATATCTGTTACACTTAAGTTAAGAATCTCAAGTGTGTATCAAACAACGCTTAAAAACATTGCAGTTTTTTTTTATTCATTTGTTTTATGGTTCACCAAAGCTGACATTAAAAATCACCCTAAGGGTGGTGTGTGAAATGAACTGGAATTTTTAGGCAATTAAGGGATTTAGAGATTTGAATGATATGCAATAAATGGTAAGAAGTTTGAAACGAGTTAATAAGAAAAGCCGCGAAGCGATTCTGAAATCCATTCCATGTGAGCAGACTTCACTGTCTCTTGTTTTCTTAATCGACGCGAAGTTGACGCGAAATTTTTCAAATCAAAAATAATTTCAAAAGAAGCATTTTTTTTTCTTCAAGTAGCTCAACAAGCAGAATTATCAAGACTTTGAAAGTTCCATGATGGAATGATTGGCTCACAAAGAAAAAAAGTCTTTGACAAAATTACCGTACAGTACGGTAAAGATATTTATGATTGATGGTAAAATAGTTCGACGTGGTAGCCTTCTTATTGTTTTTATTATTTTAACTGATAAACTCTCAAAATCATGCAAATTATGATTCAAAATAGCGTAAAAGGATATAAATATTATTTATATTATGGCATTCACTTTTGTTTAGCTCTATTTCAGTTATTTTCCTCACAAAATGATGCATAAATCTTCACAAACATTGATTTTTTCAAAGCTATATCACCATGACAGTTTTACAAGTCCTACTGACCATTCGAAGTAGGAGGGAAGTTCAAAAGACTGTAATGTGCAAACTAATCTTAAAATGAGATCGATTGTTGTTCAACAGTGTGTGTCCACATATGTGTCTACTTGAGACACATATGTCCCATAAGATTCGAAAGGGTTAAAAAGCTTTGTTAATAATAAAAAGTGAAAGTATCAGGCTTAGAAGTAGAAGAACGTGCTAGTAAAAAACTATCAAATTATAAAATTTCATTTTAATCGAAATAATTATTCATTAATTATTAATATTTTAAACTTCCAGGAAAAAATTGTAAATTGCATGATGTTTGAAGACTACACTGCTTTTCATATGGTATTAATTAGGTACGGTATTAATTAGGATTGGTAAATGAATGTTTTTTAAAGAAAAATAAACTTTTCTGAAGATTTTAAATTTAAACTTTTTTTCCAATGTGTATTTTTTGAGAATTACTCTTGATTTATTTAATACTTTAATACATTTACAGTTTTGTTTACTGTCGAAAGTAAAAGAAGAATTCTAAATCAAAGCCAAAAGAGGCAGCGCAAAAACTAAAGTTAAAAAAAATGTAAATAAATGTAAAAACTATTTGATAATAAATTGAAAAATTTATGATTCCAAAATCTTTGGATCATCATTCTCTATTTGCAATAAAGAAAAAGAACTGGATTGAAGATCATAATTTTTTACATACGCATAAATAAGATATTTATTTACATTCTGTGACATAATTTGTAATAAACTTAAATAACCTTACGAAGGGTAAGATTATTTTCGATAACTGGGTAAATGTAAACATAGAAAGAAAAATAGTAAATTTACATTTTCATTTTCTGCAGCCATTATTGTCTAGATCATTTCATTTTTTGTCAACAAAAATAAATATCATTATAACTTATTTTATGTTTGATAACGACGCCATTAATTTAATGAACACTTATAGAAATGCTCCGGAAACGGATTTTCCAACCTCGTTATCGAACGTAATCTTAGCGTTTGACATCACCTGCAGATAATACTGTCTTCTACTGGAGTTATTCTCAGCTTTTGTATTCTAGAACATTAACTATCATGTTTAATGAACTGTCTAAAATTTCGTTCTAGACAAATGAAAAAATAATGATTCTTAAATTGATTTTTCGTTTATGTTCTGGCTCCATTCGTTGCTACGATTTAGTGTATAAAACCGGGACATCAACGAAAGTGAAGATAAGCAATACTTTAACGAGGAATGTAGTAGTCAAATTTAAAACTAGTTTATAGTTGAGTTGAGAAAAAAATAATTCAAAAGCATCTCAAAAGAAATAATTCAGTTATGCGATTTACTTATTGGAATGAGTGAATTAAAACAGTTCATTATTGTGAATCAACTGGGTAGATTCGAATCCGGTAATTCAAATCATTGAATAAATTAGGTTGTATACGTAGAATGTTTCAATTTTTTTTAAAAAAATTTTGTTGTTTCTAATTCATAATGATGCAAAAATATAATCAACACATTAAAAATGAAACGATAGTAATAATCGATTTAATATTTCTGTGTTACTTTCAAGTAATATTCAATTATTAACATAAATACATTATATTTGTAATTTAAAGTTTTCAAATCATAATTATGCGATGCCTTAGGTTATATTTAAGTTTAGCATTATAAAAGATCCATTCGCAAGTTTATAAATATAGCTGCTTTGATTTAATAATTTGAATTTTGAAAGTTTAACATGTTGAGTAACATTTTATAACACTCAAATTCACAGATCAATGGTACATGCTATTGGAATAAATTAATTTATTTGACCTAAGTATTGAAATACAAAGTGCGCTTTAAGTTTGTTTTGGTTGAACCCTTTTGTTGATGTGGTGGAGGAAGTTTAGAAAAAATATTGCAGATCAGGCACAAACCACGTCGTAGAACCCAAATGTTAATGTTTTTTTTTTTTTTTTTTTNTTTTTTTTTTTTTTTTTTTTTTTTTTTTTTTTTTTTAAATGATTGCTAATATTTAGAATCCTAAAAAACGAGTTTTACTATGGTTGTGTGGTGTGTATGTACTATTTTTCCATTTCCCTAAAGTAGTTAAAAAACATGTTCTTTTTTTCTCCCAGTTCCTCATTGATGACTATCAAATTCATCAAATTAAATGTCCCAGCGACTATTTTGATTAGGTTTTGTTATAGTTCCAAAAGAATTAAGAGCTAAAAATTTAGTCTTACATCAACTTTTACGATTATGTTTGTCTAATTTCCTTTCCCTGCTTTGAAGTAAACTTATGAATTTAATCACTTTATGTAAAGTTATAAAAGAATTTATTTTCAATTTCCAGAAAAAAGTAAAATCAGATTTTGGACAAGTTTATTTCAAAAGGCTAGCAGCAATTTTAATTTATTCTTGGTGATGATGGGTAATACTGAAAAAAAAACTTTTTTAGTATAGTGAATATTTTAACTCATCAATGACAATGTTGTAATTTTTTAATTATATTCTTTTATTAATAGTAAGAATTGTGAAACCAACTTGAAAACTATTTGTAATATTCGTCCCAAACACTTTTATTTCATTTGAATTTTTTTTAAAAAACTTAAAGATGTATTGCACACTGTAAGAAATATCTCGGAAAAAATGGTTAAATAACAATTTATTTAATTGTTATTTTACCATATGATTACAATATTAAAGCAAAACAGTCAAATAACCATAAAAAAGATATTAATCAAACTGCTTACCTTGAGAAAAATCTTTTATTACCTGCTTTCGTCTTATACGGTTAAACAAATAGAATTTTATCACACCTACTAAGCCCACCTAATGAAAAAGTCACTTACTTCCCTGCAACTGCGGGCATATTATAGATGAGAGAGCTAGTCTGTCAGTCTTATTACAGAACTGGGATTCGAGTCCCAGCGCTGACACCACAATATTTTCTCTATTCCCTTCAACACATGACGAATTTCCAGAGTCCTGCATTCTCCAATTTTCAGAACCTAACGAAAAGCCTAGCTCCTATGTCCAGTTACAATTCTTTTTTATGGTTTTGAAACCATGCTGGTTGTAAATGGTTAAAAACGGCACAGTTTTGTATTCATGGTTTTATAACCATACTAGTTGTAAAAAGTTTCAAAACTGTAAAGGTAAAAAATGTTCTTTACTGTAAACTTTCGGCCGGACAGACTGCTGCCGATTATTTTACCATAATTTTAGAACGAAATTTATAACTGCGAAATACTAAAAATGAGCAAAATCTAAAATTAAATCAGATCAAACAAAGCATTCGTACAATTTATTCACTAAAATATTTTTTGGAAAAAAATAAATTATTTAATAAGTAATAAGCAACTTTTTTCGTTTGATACGAAAAAACTACTTGGGTGTCGGATTTAAAAAAAAAAAAACAATCAAACTTTTTGATGCTTTCTGCTATTGATAAAATTAATAAGAAATTAGTATTTGAAAATTTCATTCGAAAAATAAATAGTGCTAGTTAGGATTAATTGTAAGAATCGTCCCTAACAAGGGATGCTAGGCATTAATGGGTTAAGTCAACTTCAAATTCATTTGAACAAGAATAACAATAAACACTTTCAATGAAAAGGATACGATCTGTACCAGGGAACAAAACACCTCCACGAATCATTTCCCCCATAATGCATCCGACGGACCATATATCCACTGTAAAAAGTTATAAACACGTCAAAATTTTTCATACCTGTCATTGTTAAAATTTTTTACTCTTTCTTTTTAAAAACACAAAAAGAACAAAGGTAAATTAAACTCCTGATTAAATAAATAATTCCAAGAAACTGAAACGAAAAGATAAAACTTTATTTGAAACTTATTGGCTTTAAAAATATAAAAACGGTAATAAAAGTCGGCACTCTGTAAAAAAGTATTTCTCAAAATTGAGCAAAAATGAGTCAAAATAGCTCCGAGTCGAATTTGAAAACCCTATGTATTCAAAATTGAAACAGCATATACTAATTTTTGAGCAAAATGCATAGATCACAAGCGACATGGAGATAGAATTGTTTTTGGCTGTGAGCAGGATTCGAACCTAGAACCTCTGGGTTCGTAGTAGAAAGCTCTAAATATTATAGTTGTATACCTCTGTCCTGGGAGAGCTAGAAAGCTTTATATAGTGGCTGCCGCAATGACACATCACGACATACTAATTTCCAGTTTCAACGGTACAAAGGGTGGCAATTGGCAAAATATGATTCCTATAGATTAGTCAGATATAGATAGTCCTATAGATCGGTTGCTTTAATTTCACTTTTTGCTTATTTTGCTATATTTCAAAAACTTTTAAGAGAATGGAATGTAAGTTCTGATGTGTTATTGCATTGACCAACATATAAAGCTTTCTAAATCTAGGTAGGTAGGTACTTTATTTACGTCGCGCTAGAGCTGCACACTGGGCTATTGGCGACGGTTTGGGAAACATCCCTGGGGATGATCTGAAGATATACCATCGCAATTTTGATCCTCTGCAGAGGGGATGGCTTCCTTCCTTTGGTACCCCGACGACCTGCACGCGAAGTACAGCACTTTACGGTAGAACAGTTTAGCGAGGACCGATATAGTGCACCCTCGGTCCCTGAGCAGGCTGATCAAAGTGGTTACGTACCCGTTTACTGACCGCGCAGCCAGTGATGTTTGACTTCGGTGTTCTACTGGAAACCGTGTCTTTACGATCAGTCCACTGCGGAACTTTCTAAATCTGCCTGTACTGGCCTGTACAACTGTGATGGTTAGAGCATCATACAACGATCCCGCAGGTCCTTAGTTCAAATCTGGCTTATGGCTTTACGACCATCTCTAGCACACAATTCTCCCTCCACATTGTTTTAGAGACTATGCATTTTGCTCAAAAGTAAGTATAGGCTGTTTCAATTTAGAACACATAGGTTTTTCAAATTCAACTATCTTTGTTTCGGAGCTATTTTGATACATCTATGCTCGAATTGATACATCTATGCTCGAATTCTCCTTTTCTACAGCGAATTTCTCAAGCGTTCAAAAATAGGCTCCCATTTTCAAGATTTGTCGGACGTGAATTCAGAAAATAAATGTGATTTGAAAAATTTAAATGTAAAGTTGCCAACGAAAAAAGGAAAAATTAGGGTAAAAAAAAAACTAGAAAAACCACAATAGCCGAGTGTGAAACTGAAAAATAAATAACAAAAATAATAACACGTTTTATTTGCAGAACTTAATGCTTTCCTTATAAATATTTATCGAATTTTTGTTTAAAAGCACATCAATGCCATGAGAATAATAATTAGAAAGAAAAAATAATTGTTAAATTTTAGTTATACTAAGATTTGACAGAACACAAAAGTTTTTGAATGAATAAATAATATTATCTAACAGAACAATGATTTTCTTAAAAATTTAATTTGTTAACAAATATTGAGCTCAGAGGGAAAGAATTAGAAAAATATAATAGCTTTGAAGGCAAAAGGGCATTTAATATCAATAAAATGCTTAAAAAACGTTTATTAACAATATCCAGAAATCTTTAAATGCAATTTAATTTAATGAAGTTTAAATTTTCTGAATTTGACGGTGATGCGCTTTTTTATTATAATTTTTTTTAAATCTTTGATTAGAATTCTTGATTTCGAATAAATGGTGACTAAATAATTTTTGTAAAAAATACCACTCAGAAGCAATTAGGGAAATTACTTTACATGTAAATATTGCTCAAAGCATTTTAAACCTGATGCTAAAAGAATTTTTTTGTTTTTTATTTATTTGTTAAAATTTTCTTTTCATAAAGAGTCATTTAATATTGAGGAAACAATTAGATTATTTCCATTAGCAATTAAACTTATTTTGCTTAAATGGCATATGCAAATAATACATAACATAAATACTTCAGAGATTTCATTAATTTAAAACAATTTAAAGTTATTCATATCAATAATTTATGAAAATGACAAACAAATATATCTTTTATAATAAAAATTATTTAGCGTTTATTGTTTCAAATAAAGGAGGGAATTAGAAAGATCGCTTTTTTAAAATTCTTTTTTAGTTTCATAATTATTAAAAAAATAATACTTGTTTAAAAATGAGCAAAAATGGTTTTAAAAATGTAAATACTATTGATGCAGATCTATAAAGTATTTTTTATTGATGAAGTAGATCAAATATTTCTTTTATGTATTTGAATAATTATTTTTTTAATTGTATCATTCTTGTTATACAATTTAATTTAAAATAAACTTCAAAAAATGCTCATATTTGTTGCCTTTAAAATTAAACTAGATTTGAATAATCATTAATGTATAATTTGATGTTTTAAAAATTATGCTGTTAAATATTTGTTTAAAATTTTTTAATATCATAAAAATTTTAAAACAGTTTATTTTATATTTTTTCTCCAACAGTGTTGATTACATTTTATTATTAACAAAAATTCAAATTTAAATTATGATTGATTATTATTTTTTATTAGTACCGAACTAATTAGATTTATTAATTTAAAATCTGTAAATGAAGAATGTGTTAATAAGTAAATAAAACAAGTAAATAAAAAAATTAGTAAAATAAAATTTATAAAATAATTAATAAACTAAACACATGGTTGTTATTTTAATTTTTAAATGTTTTGACAAATAAGAAAATGTTATGTGTTTATGTGTAATGTTGCTATATGTAAAACGACCATTTTTGATTAAATTTGAGGCCTAATGCTGTTTAATAATAGCTTTTCTACTTATTTACTAATGTTACTTTACTGATAAAAAATACTGATAAATTTTTTTTAAATATTTGTAGCCAATATTTCCCCCTCCCCGGAAATAATAAGAATAATCAATCATTTTAAATCTATCTGAGGCCATCGACATAGCTCTTTGTTGAAATAGTCAAATTTGAGATCATTTTTCTGAGAAACTAAAGGGCCATTCAAATATTGCGTACACCCGTTTCGGGAATCAAACCTTCCCGATAACGACTAAAAATAGCAAATAAACGATTAAAATATCGAATAAAATATAAACGACTATGCACCAAAAAATGTGCTAAAATGTGTACCATAGTAAAAAGAACAAAACAAGAGGGCATTTATGCACACAAAAAAGGCAATTAAAAAAAATACTAAGTTTTACCAAGAAGTGCAAAGAGTGCGACTGTCACAAATGACAAAAAAACCAATCAGATTTCATTAAGTAAACTGCATGATAATTTTAATTACTCGTATAATATGTAAAGTTAAAGAAAAAAAAAACAGATACGTAAGTTTTGTCCTAAAATTATAATTGAATCCTCTTACGCAATCCATTAACTTACCGTTATCTTTGTACCCCATTCCTAGTATAACTTCTGGAGCTCTGTAGTACCGTGTCACGACGTATGGTGTCATCATGAAGGTAGTACCGGCAGTTCTTGCCAGACCAAAGTCCAAAATTTTCAGAGTACAATCGGATTTAACTACAATATTGCTTGGCTTTAGATCCTAGAACAAAAAATGTATAAATCTTTTAAATAAATACGATTTAATGTGTTTTGAAACATTATTTACCACCTTTAAAACAAAACTTATATCAGTCATTCTTCAAGCTCTATTTAAAGGTTGTCTGAAACTTTTAGTTTAATTTTATATGATTCGTTTCATTTTAATATCGTAATATTTCGAATTCATTTGTAAGCACATGCTGGAGGTGAGACAAAACATCTGACAAATTACTTTAATTCACTACAAAAAATTCGGATCAAATTGCGGTAAAAAGTACGGGCACTCAAGGTGCCCGTACTTTTTACTGTAAAATTTTACCGAACAAAAAATTCTGATACACCATACTTAAATACTTACTGTAAAATCACTAAATCTCTGTAATTAAATTAATATTACTGTAAAAAGAAGGGTAAAAATGGATTTCAAGGTAAAATGGATTTTATGGATGGTGCATTTAGGGTGCCAGTTTTTTGTTTCTGTGATTTGACCCGGAATTTTTGCAGTGTGGTCGTATGAATTTTTAATCTATTTTTCATGGTAAGAGGCATAATAATATCTACGTTGCCTTAAATATCTCTTATGACATTTTCAATTATTATTAAGTATTATTATTGTTGTTAAGTATTATTATTGTTTTTGAAATGCTGAATAAACCTAACTGGTGTTAAATCTCATGATCTTATCAAAGGGCGATAATCTCAATGCAGTGTTTTTCTTTTTACAATGAATTTTGAAAGCAACACTTATGTAACTTGTGTACTTTTTACTGTTAACAATTAATAATGTATGTTATGGTTTTTCATTAAATTATGTAGCATTATTAAAATATTAGTTCATTCACGGATATCCTTTATATCCGTTAAACAATGAAAGCAATTACAATAAGTGCAATTAAATTAAGCAAGATAACAATAAATCAAAATGTGTAGAAACACGTTTTATAATATATTATCCAATATAAAACATTGAAACACACGCACAACAGACAAAAAAAGAGCACTTTTGAATAACCTTTGATCTAATGATCGGAATTCATGTTCAAAGACTCAACATTAATGGTCCGAGGATCTAACCTTAAATATGATAATTAAGTTGTACAGACGGTACTTTTAGTTAAAAATCGAATACAAAATCGTTCTGAATAATATGTCTTTTTTACTGTCAGATTCGGATTTTTGATCCGCACAATATTGGATTAGTTAATTTTTAATTCCGAAGCTGGATATTTCATTTTCAGAAACAAGAAAAGTATGTGGGGCTAAATCCGGAGAGTATGGTAGATGATTCAGCACAGCAACATCGGAAACTGAAAAAATTACTGAAGGAACCAAGTATAAAGAGTTTAAAGGCACTGACGTTAGAATTGAAGAGCATTTTGAAAAAAGACTTTAAAAGTTGTTTCTGAGTACAGCCGAGTAATGAAGTACATTATGGCATGTAGTGGGTGTTCCGAAACATAATTAATGAGTATTTTCCGGAATTTTTTGGATCAGTACAAAAACAGATAGTTTATAAATTTTATCGTTCTGTTTTAAGTAATTAGTTTGTGTATCACCTAGCTTTACGTATTTATACGTCATTATATTGCTACAACATCACCATGATTAATGTTAAATTTTTCAATACAGTTAATTTGGTTTAGCTTTGAACTTGCATAGTGACAATCTCTTTTGAATACAGTTCAGTTTTAGTCATAATTGCTTAAAAAATAACTATCAGCAATAAAATATATTAAGTATAAAAATGGTATTAAGTATAAAAATATATTAAGTACATAAATATATTATGTATAAAATATATTAAGTATTGTTAAAACAATTCTTCCAACGTAATTATGCTCTTGTAAATCAAAACACCGTTTTTGAGTTACAAGAGCTACTAATTAATTAAAAGACATGTCTAAGTTGTCTCCACTTTACATATCTCTCCACTGGAAATTCATCAATGATCAATTAGTTACAGATAGCAACTAATAGGATTGCGTTTCTATTGGGGTATGAATATGAATCGTCCAATAGGAATGGTGCAAACAACAATTGATTGCTTTATTCCACTCAAGGACATAGTTCGGCCTCTAGCTTGGATATCTCTATTCTACTATTATAAATCTTTGTTCTTAGCATTTCTTTTAGCTTATAAGTTATAAGTAAACATGGTTGCTAGTCATTTTTTAATTATTAGGCATTTGTATTCTGACTTACGCTAACCGTATCAAACAAAATTCAACTTCCTTGAAAGGACTAATAGACGCTCTTAAACAAGTTGCTATTTTAACTCACTTTGATTATCTTCGTCTTTAATTTTATTGTTAAAAATATTGTTTTAATTCTATTAAAAAAGAAAAGAAAAGACGTGAGTTCAATCATTAGACGAATGCACTTTTTTATGTGAAAAATCTTCTAAAATGAGAGTGTTCCTCTTACCCTGTGAATGATGCCTGCCGAATGCAAATGCTTTATGCCACAGAGCATCTGGTAAAGAAGATAAGACATTCTTTCATGATCCAGGTCCATCTGTATCACTTGGCAGAGATTGGCATCCATCAGTTCCATCACCAGATACCTGCAGGAAGGGATCAATTCCGTCACGAAACAATAATATTTAGTCTCTTAGCGGTTTTTCTAAAGTGCATAAGATTTCTCACTATGCTCTTATTCTCTGAGAATTAAATTATAACTAACTGTAAGAAATCTATTAATGATAGCAAACTTGATTCCGATCTCTACTCTTTGATCACTAGGTAAACTCTCATGGGTTGAGATTGGTGTCACTAGGTAGTTTTTTCTTAATACCAAAAAATTCTATTTTTTTAAAATCTAACTTTCATTCTATTTTTTCGATTTTGAAATAACAAGTTTTCCGCCATCCTTATCCAATCCGTCTCCTTGGAATCAAAATTCAACAATTTATGCCGAATTAGGATTATAGTCAAATCTGCCATAAAAAACAGGTATTAATTTTAAGCTGCTGGTTATTATACCGTAATTTCAGAATTAAAAATCTAACAGTGAAGCAACGTGCCCAGCATTACGCGCATGCCACCTCTACCTCCCAATAAAAGTGGATGGGCTTCAGCCCATAAATAAGATTTGAATCTCCGTCTTTCACAATGAAAGCTCAATACCTTGAAGTTTTAAATGATAATGCCAGAAATGTTAGAATTAAAAAAAGGCATTTTCACGTGACAATTGCCTCGATCTGTACTTTAGAGATACTATGCGTATGAATGATTTCGGTAAACTTATTGAATGCTTGGGATTCCACTTGAATAAAACTGTAATATGCAATTAAGAAAGATATAATGCAATCAGCCTAAAAAATCAACTATTCCTTGTAACAAACCAAGAATTTAAGTATTTGTCGCATTAAGTTGAAAATATTAAATATTCTCAGTTAAAATATATATTTCAGATATGAATCTGACATTTAACTGAATTTCGAAACTTTTTGAATACAACTGAAGAAATATTCTTTAGCTGGGTTTTCAGGTTTAACAAAGTTAAGCTTCTGATGTACTTCATGGTTTAATTTATGGTACTTTCATAGTTAATCTCTTTAACAATCCCATTTTGAATCATCAACTCTTATGGTTCTTGCAATAAAACCTTTAACAATATTTAATTATACGATTTTTGAAAATTTTATTGTAAAAGAAGAATTAAATTATTTATTCTTACACATCTTGAAAGTCTTCTAATGTTTTCTGTGGGGTGAATGCATTTAAAAGACCAATGATCTGAAAAACACAATCAAATTCAAAATTAGTAAATAAATGCATTTATCACTATCTACATACATTTATATACAATTACTATTTAAGCTTAACGTAAACTTAACTAATAAATTGAACTATATTATCGATTTCACATTTTTTTCTATGTAATATTGATTGGAAAGTAAATATTCGTTAATATGACATTAACATATACCAGGCACCCTATTAAGTTTGCTGCAAATTTGGACGAGATAGCTGTTAACGTGAACGCATTTCGGATAGTATTAAATATTCAGTAGAAATCCATTCTTCAATCCATCCAAATCCATCCTTCAAAATCCATTTATGGAAACTATTAACAGTATCTCCTTTGATGGTGCTTGTTTATGCAGCAATATCGTATTGAGCATCAAGAGTATCATATCAAGTATCACACTAATATCAAATATCATATTAAGAGAATCATATAAATGTCATGTGTCAGATTAAGAGCATCATTTGTATCGAGTATAAGAGTATATGCCGTATGCAGTGTTAAGAGTATCATACCAATAACGGTATCACTAATCGTATCATGCTGACTGCATAGTGAATATATGTGCAATTGTGAATGCAATATTCAGAGGATTCACGTTACAAAAACTTTGCCATTTAGTATTTTGTGCTTGTTAGAAAATAAAAAGAAAACTTATTTTCATCATTGTAGTGGAAGAAAAGTCAGCATGTTTTGAGCGTCTAAAACAGAACGCTCTTTGTTAGGACAATAATACGATAATTTGAAAATAGAGAAGAGTCAGAATATTTTGAGCATCAAAAACAGGACGCTCTTCGTCGGGATTATACGTTGATTGAAAACTTAGATAAACTGGTTAAAAAAAGACACAGTTGCTAATGAAAAAGAATAGACTTTTTTTGGCAACTGCCACCTTTCTTGTTTCATGTTTTGTGGTCTTGACAAGGAGTGTCGCGTTCTGTGTGCCCAAAACATGTCAACTTGTCTTCCATTTATTTCTTTATTTTTAGTTTTCTAAAGATTATTCGTGTCATATTTTGCACAAATTTGTTTCCCTGATCCCCCATTTGTTTATTTAAAATATAAAAGTTTTAAGATTCATTATCAACCTATAATTTAAAATGTTAAGGAAATTTTGTACATTAAGTTTAGGGGTCTAAATCTGCCAAACCAAGATCTTTAAAATATTAATTTTAAGCATTTTTATGCGTTTGTAATTTTATAAGAAAAAATTAAGTTTTACTGGCAGTCATAACTTTCGTAAAAGTAAAAACTTAGCAATTAGATTTTGTATTATTTAATTAAATTTTATTGTCCTGTGAAAAACTTATATTTTTTGAAGAAGCACCTACATTATTGTAACTGGTTGCTATGAACAATAATTTGTCATGATATTATAGACATTTCATGCTTCCCACTTTCTTTAATTTCTTTTAATTTTTAATTTTATATTTAATAATTTGATCCTTCTCACAATAAAAATGAACTTCAGTTTTTTTAATAAGGTGCAACTGACTGAAATAAAATTCTAAAAAATAGTCTTGCTTCATTTAATTATTTATTAACATAAAAATTCTAAAAGTTCTACGGCTAAAGGTCAAAGTGTTTGCCATCAGTATGTATTTTTAAGTCTTATGTAGCCAAATAATTTAAAATCCCTTAAAACGTCAATAGAGTGGCTCAACTTTTTAATAAATAGCCAAATAATTGATATTTTCCTATGAAGAGTGGTGACTTTTTATTCATTTATGTTTCGAAGCTGGAGCTAAGAAATAGAGGCAAATGTATATTACCCTCCCTACCGGCCCTCTGTTGAAAATTAAAATTTTGGAAATTTAAAATATAATTGAATATTTTCATCTCATTAGTATATCCTGGCAACTGTAAAGACTTCCTTCTAAAGACCTTATGAACGTCATAATCAAGATATAATTAAATCCTATGAGAATTTCTCTTTTAAAATATACATTTTAAGAAATCAGAAACTCTTTAAAAATAAATTCCATCTAAAGAACAGCACTAAAATAGTTTTTATCCTACATTTTATAAAATTACAAACATTTTACCTTATTAAATTGCACCAGAAATATGTGTAATTGCATATGATTAATACATAATTTATTAATTATAATGTATCATCTATACATGATGTGTAACCAGCAACTGTAGATAATATCAGATTTATTAATTTATCTGGCAGGTGAAGTAGGGCAAAAGTGGACTTCTTGAAATTTATTCTTGGAATTAATAAAATTTTTTGAATATATAAAGGAACACCCTTATAAAAAAAACCGCTTTCGATTTTGTTTTGAGGCTGACAGGTGTAAGAAAAGAGGAAGAACCTGAGGTAGAAAATGAGGCTATGTTTTGCACCAAAAATAACCTTATTCATAAATCTCAATTTCAACCTCGTTTGCACCGAATAAAATCAACCTCATATATAGCTCAACAATACTGCTAGTTGAAATCGGGTAGAATTATTCACACCTCTAATAGACTTGTAGTGTATAAAAATGATTTGTACATCTCAAAAAACAAACTTTCTATGCTGGTTGCTCTGAGGTAGATTAATATGAACCTCAAAACAACCTCAAGTGCGAATAAAACAACTTGAAACATCTTGATTATAAGCCTGGAGAGGTTGATTTTTAGGGTTATTTTTGAAGTCATCCTCAAATCAAACTTAGCACCTGGAAACAACCTCCAATAAACCTTAAAAAACAACTTAAAGTTTTGTAAGGGCACATAATTGTTCATCCACAACAAGTTAAATCGAATTCGATCATTTTCTTGAATGCTGCAAACTAAGATAGGTAAGCATTGTTAAGTAAGAAAGGTAGGCATTCATAGGAAAATGTTCGCTTTAACTTTATGTATTAAGGAAATGCATGAGTATTATCAATAGATAATTTGCACTTTATAAATTTTAAGTATGAAAACTATGGATTTTCTTAAAAATTGCTCTCAAGTTCCCCTTTCTATCCCATATGAAATCAAAGTACAAGGCATTTGATATTTTTTACACATTATTTAAACAGTATTTTCTCTCTCAATGGTAAAAAAATATATTATTGAAAGTAAAAATATCCATTAACGTTCTACAAAAAATAAATCATTTGTCAAGCGAATAAAAATAAGCCAGCCACCGCCGTTTATAGCCTTAGAGAATCTTTCCTTAAAGCACTCAGACTTTTATAAATCTTCCCGTAAAAGCGAAGATGCTTCTAAACCCTCCTCCTCGCTATTAAAATAAAAAGAAATCCCTTTTAAAATGGATCCTTCTTTTGCATACTCGTTTTATTCTTGAAGAGTAGAATAAATTTAGCCTAATAAAATGGACTCTTGTTACTTTAAAAATCCATTTAGGGAAAAGGTTTTTAAATCATTATGAGCCTTTCTTGGCATGTAATAGACAAGTAGATATTTTATCAAGAGTCACGATGACACAGAAAATAGTAAGTGAAAATGTTTTATGCCCTTAGCTATTTGTTACAAATTAATTTGCATCTATTAATTAAGTATGAGGCTTAATATAGTCTCATTATGAGTTGGCTTCGAGCTTATTAAAATTTATAAGCTCACCTTATGAAGTGTCGAGAGATTAAGAGAAAAAGCTAACTGTTTACAAGTAATAAATTAAAAGTAAAAAAGAAGACTTTTAAAACTATTTTTTTATTCAAGGATTTTATAGCGAAAGAAAAATATTTTGTGAGCACACTGATTCATCTGTGATGATTTTTATTTATGGTTTAGATATAAAAAAGAAACGTAAATGTTAAAATAGAGAAAAAAATTTTTAGGGGGGCCGTCAAGAATATTTAACTAGTGTAATTTTGTGTTCTTAATATTATAGGTTTATTTTTTATTTGATTTTAAAGTAATTAATTTAAGAAATTAGCATTCTATATATTTTAATATTTTTATTTTAGAAATGCATACTCTTTTTCAAATTTTTATTCAACTTTAAAACTAAGAAAATACCATGTAATGCAAGATCGTCGAAAAGAATATATTTTTAATATCAGTTAATTAAAAGAAATATTATTTTTATTTTTAAAAGTTAAGAAATTTAGTGTGACGATAATTCAAGACCATCATTTTAGTAAGATATAAACATATTTTTGTACGCATGTTCTCATGTTGCACATGAACTCAAGATCATCGTTTTATTAACATATAAACATATTTTTGTATGCATGTTCTCATGACATGTAGCACATGAACTTAAGTCCATAATTTTAGTAACATAAAAACATACTTTTGTAAGTATTTTCTTATGACATGTTGCGCATTAACTCAAGATCATCGTTTTAGTAACACATAAACGTATTTTTGTACGCGTGTTCTTATGACATGTGGCACATCAATTCAAGACTATCTTGCTTAAATGGAGTCCATTTTTAAATAACAGTATTTTTCTGTGAAATAAACGGTTTTATACTGGTACACCAGTTAACAATTTTTTCTGTACATTTAACAATTTTAAAGTGTAGTTACAGTGTAGCTGCTATTTAGTTCAGCCATTTCGATATGGATTTAAATTTCAGCCCAGAAATTAATAGATTTATGACTGTGGAAACAATTTTGCAGATGAAAGTTCTTTTATTTTACCTCTGATATTCTAAACACCTTAATAAATGAGTTAGAAGGTAGTTGCAGTTATTTTTCCCTTTTGTTAGTTATTGTGATTTCAACAGTCTTGAATCTTGGAGAAGAAATAAAATTATTTAAAACTAATGAAACTGTACAACAATTAGATTGCTGAAATCATTATCTTTTATCAATGCTATATCATTATCTTTTAAGTTTTACTTCATTGATCAATAGAAATTGTTCACCTCATATCTTTTTTTTTAAATAGTTTTACGACTGACATAAATGTTTTTGCAATCATTGGTATTTTTTGTGCCAATTTTCAAGAAAAATAAATATGTTATATTAGTGACACTTTGCGAACTCTGTGAGGTACCTGGTTTCAATAATTTCCGATCTCCAAACAGAGTCGGAGTAGAAAGAACTGAAACCGTTGAAACAATATATCAATTAAAATAACGGCATCTGAAATGGAAATTCTTAGAACCTTTTTATATTTTTTAGTTTACTTTTAAAATCAATATAGTAGCAATAGTATCTATCAAGTAGTAAGTTCAATCAATAGTAGTTTGGCGAGAAATCGGTTACGTTTATTATGAGTCTGCGTGTTCAGTTGAGACTGTCGCCAAAGATAAATAAAAAGGAGAAATGCTAAATTTAAACATAACTTTAATGAAAACTTAACAACAAAATTAAAAACGAACAAGAATAATCGAGCAAGTAATAACTGAAGAAAAACATTAAACAGATTGTGAAAAGAGAAAAACGTAAAGTAAAGAAACGAACAAAGTATCACGATGGTTTCGATGGTAACGAAGTTTTATGATGATCAAATTTTATTTCTTGAACTTCAGTTCAAAATAGATGACAAAAAATACTTTGAGCGTATGTTGAAATTTTTAGGTTCGCCAGAGCATGAACTTCTCGAATCAAGTACGATGATTTCGCCACAGAAACTCCCCCTCCAAATACCGGAGGTATGGAGCTAGGGAATTCTAAATTTCACCCGTCTACCACTCCTGGTAAACACTTGAGGTTGAGATTCGAATTTTGATGAATTTAAAGGAATGGAAGGTTCCAAAAAGGCAGGCTTCAGACGATCTATACTTATTGTAGTTGTGCGGGATCCAATTTTCAGAGTGAAATGTTTACTTTGTCGAGATAGTACCTGGAAAGGTCCGTCGTATGGAGGGGTCAACGGAGGTTTGACCCAATCTTTTCGAATGAAAACGTGAGTAGAATCTTTTAAGGCGGGATGTACGAAACAGGTTTGACGAGAATGATCAGAAGCAGAAACGGGTGTAAGCTTTTCCATTGTCTCCCTCAAGTGTTCAATGAAAGTAGACTCTTCAATGGGTTTTGTGGAAGGGTTAAAAAATTGGCCAGGTAGGCGTAAACCTGTGCCATAAACCATTTCAGAACAGGAACCTTTCAAGTCATCTTTGAATGCTGATCTGATTCCTAGTAAAACGATAGGAAGAGTCTCGGTCCATCGAAGTTTGCTGTGGCACATAATACCTTGCTTTAAGGTTCTATGCAGGCGTTCGATCATACTATTCGCCATAGCATGATACGGCGTGGTACGTATTCTCTTTATTCCCAGCATGGACGATAGATTGGCAAACGATTTTGACATGAATTGTCGGCCTTGATCGCTTGTTATTATAGCTGGTACTCCAAACCGGGAAATCCAATTAGTAACGAAACATTTTGCAATTGTTTCAGCAGATATGTCAGAGATGGGTATGACTTCAGTCCATCGAGTATAGCGATCAATGCAGGTTAGTAAGTAACGATAGCCTTGTGAAGGTGGGAGAGGTCCAACCAAATCAATATGGATGGGTTCGAACCTGTGATCAGGCAACTTGAAACTCTGCAAAGAACTGTTGGTATGTCTTTGAACCTTCGATTTTTGACAGTTTATGCAAGAACGTGTCCAGTGTGCAATATCTCGGCTTATTGACGGCCAGATAAATCTCTGCTAGATCAGTACACTTTAGTGCTATTGATACCTGGGTGTGAAAGACCGTGCAAACTGTCAAAAACAATCTTTCGATGATTGACAGGCACGTACGGTCGCACAAGGTCGTTGGACACGTCACAGTAGAGGAAAACGTTTGGCTGAACTTCCATTTTCTGTAACTGAAGTGATGACGAGGAATGTGCTAATAGGTTCTGTAGTTCCTGGTCATCCTGTGGAGCTTTAGCAATATCTTCCAGATTTGTATTAGCCAGGCAAATGTTGTTTATCCTAGACAGGGTATCAGTTCCAGACGCATGCTTATTGTCTGTGGTGTATTGGGAAATGTAGTCGAGTTGTCGTGACTGTCTTGGCGAACAAGTATCATGCTTTTTCCTAAAAGCGTATACCAGTGGACGGTGATCTGTGAAGATAGGAAAAGATTTTCCTTCGACTGAATCTCTGAAGTGTCGTATGGCAGAGTAGATGGCTAATAATTCCCTTTCGTAGGTACTATACTTCTTTTCAGCTGGAGTTAATTTCCGTGAAAAGAAAGCAATAGGTCGTGAACCATCTGGTGTGTGCACTTGTAAGACTGCGGCTAAGGAAACTTCTGAAGCATCGACTGTAATGGAGATTGGATGAGCTGAAGGAAAATATGCCAATATGGCTGAATTGGCGAGGTCATGCTTACACTTTTCGTACGCAGATATAGCTTCATCAGTCCAATTTACCAACCTATTATCATTTTTCTTAGCATTTTTAAGATAATCATGAAGTACAGCTTGGGTTTGTGCAGCGTTAGGAATGAAACGGCGATAAAAATTAAGCATTGCCAAGAATCTTAACTCGGATATTGTTTTAGGTTTTGGCAAGTTTAAAATAGTCTCAACTTTGGCCGGGAGTGCTTTAACCCCTTCAGGTGTGATTAAGCATCCCAGAAAAGAAGCAGAGTCTTGGCCTAAGATACATTTAGAAGCGTTTAAAGTTAAACCGTGTTCGGCCAATCTTTGAAATACGAGTTTAAGGTGTACTTTGTGCTCTTGTTCATCTGTGGAGGCAATTAGAATGTCATCAAAATAGGGTATACAGAAATTTAAACCTGATAGTACTTGATTTATAAAGAGCTGGAAAGTTTGGCCGGCATTTCGTAATCCAAATGGCATAAATACATATTCGAATAAACCAAATGGAGTTGTTATTGCTGTCTTTGGTATATCCTCAGGGTTAACTGGAATTTGATGATACGCTCTACATAAATCTAAACTTGAAAATATCTTCTTACCTTCCAGCATTTGAGTACAATCCTGAATGTAGGGTACGGGATATCTGTCGGGAACAGTAACTGCATTCAATCGGCGATAGTCGCCACATGGTCGCCAGTCACCATTCGCTTTTCGGACCATATGTAAAGGACTAGACCAAGGACTTTTAGACGGGCGTATAATTCCCAATGACATTAGATAAGAACAGTAGTAATTTCAATCTATAGTAGTTATTTTTATCAATGGTATAGTAGCAGTTATATCACTTCAACGCTTTTGAATATTCCCCTCTATAATCCTCCTGGACAACTTTCAAGATCAAGAACGACTTGACGTCTGAAATGTTGTAATCATTTCTCTTAGCCAACTTTCAAACACAAGATTAGATCAGGCATTTTAAACATTTTAATCAATTAGTTACAGCAGTTTATCACCCTAGCTTACACTTCAGAACCAAACAGGCTCATCATCTGCAACAATGTAATCCATTAGTCCTCCTAGGCTATTTTTATGAACAAGATTAGGCCCCGAGTCTGGAACATTGAAATCAGTTAATTACACCAGTAAGCCTTACAAGCCTGCTTTCAGAAACAGCTTATAGCCTCAGTTAGTTTCATTAGACTATTTTCAAGAACAAGATTAGGCCTCTTCTCTTGAACATTGCAATTAGTCTGATCTCTTAGACTATTTTCAGGAACTAAATTGACATGGAATCTAGATTGATGTCAGTTGGACTTTCAAGTCAAATTTACAGAGAGGATTAGGCCTAGATTTAAAAAGAAAGCATAATAATCAGTTTAACCTCAACCTAAATTAAAGAACAGGATCATGGTGTCAGAAACCATATAATTAAGATAACCACATCATTTAGTTCTCCTAGTTTACTTTCTGTAAAAAAGTCTTTGCAACTGTAGTATTGTAATCAGTCACTATAACTCTTTTTCATATTAGAAAATGGGGAAACCCTTAAAACAACTTTGCAGTCTTGGAGCTATTGTTCCGAACATGCTTGAAGCCTAATCTGTTTTGATCAGTTTTAGAGAGACAAAAGACATTCATTTGAAAGAGTTTTGCAATACTTACATTTTTGTGGTTGACGAGCTTCATGAGCTTGAATTCCCTGTAGGCCCTTTTCGCGTGAGTCACATTTTGGAAGGGTCGGCTTAGTTTCTTTATAGCCACATTTTGCCGGCTCACAGTGTCGTATGCAGCACTAAAAATAGAAAGAAAAAAGTCATTAATTAGCAGTCATCATGATCATTTACGCAATTATAAATATATTCAATGATAGGATACAATCGGTACGAGCATACTGGTTTCTGAAATTCCCGGTGCATGCTGGTTTTCCTTCATGCATGCAGTTCAACTCTCATGCTGGCTTTTAAAATTCCATAATTTAGCTAAGTGAATCGGTACACTGAGCTATCCAAAATTCACGCTCACCAGTCATTTCACCAGTTTCAAGCATTTCGAATATCAGTTCTTCAATGAATTTAATATTATTACTTCACATATTATGAACCATGCAACGCATAATGAGTTTTATTATCGGCTTCAGAAATTAGGTTCTTAAGCTTGCATGAGTATTTTTCGGTGTCTTTCTTTTAGTGTCTTTCATTTGTATTCCTTTTAATGCCTTCATGCCTTCGTCATCGCAATATGTTTTAAACATTGCCTATATTTTAAGACAGTTTATTTATAATTTATTAAAGTATACTTGCGAGGGTGCAACACAGCTGGGTTTAAGGATCATACTGATTTTAAGGTCAAATATCTAACCAACAAAGTTGTTATTTAAGAAGTAAGGAATGATAGAAAATTAAGAAAAAATTGCATATTTCTCACAGTTTTGGAGCTAAGTATTTCGCAAAGTATTCTCATCCTCTTCTATTTTTTAGTATTTCGACTCATTTTTTTGTAGCTTAGCTTGCTCATCATACTAATATACTGTAATTTGAAAATTCATTTGAATTTTTGCTTCGGACCAAGCTAATGAGAGAGATATCTACGGCTCGAGAGTACTTCTCTCATTTTTCGTTTTAAAAACAATTCACAACAATAAATGCATTAATTTTTCAGTTTCATTGTATACCTCAGTTGCTCTGTCACCATACGTATAATATATGCTTGATTATCATATGTAAAACTTGCTCATGTTGTAAATTTTAAAATACAGCAAAAAATAAACTGTGGAGGTTGAGGTGGTCTTTTAACAAAAAGTTTTTTTTTAACAAGAAGTTTTTTTTAAAAAAAAATTCGGGTTTTGCTGCACAGTCAGAGAAAGAAATTTGTGCATTGTTAAAATTAGATATTTTTACAGCTCTGCCATAATTGCTAAACAAATGCAATGACAAAAAAATCTAAGGTTTGAAATATGATATTCACTTCATCACCATCATACTTTGTTCCAAATTCTGTTTATTAAGAGTTTATTAAGACGAAAATAAAACAATCATTAGTAATGTAGTTTAATTTCTGAAATAGTTTAAAGTAATCTAGATGCCTTCATTGTTATGTAATTTGGTACAAAACTGCAATAAAACCGGATCTACTGGATGTCAGTTAGTTTTTTCCATCAAGGCAATTTGTAGAAGATAGTTCCTCGAATTAAATAAAGCTTTTTTAAAAATAAGACAGTTTGGTTTTAATAGTGAAAATGTGAGGAAAGAAAAATTCTGAAATTCGGTGCAGCGAAATTATTTTTAAAAAAAGTGCATATAGTAAAGAAAATAATATGGGAAAAAATAATAACTGAATGATAAAAAATAAGCAATATTAATAAAAAAGGAAACAAAAAAAAATGATTTACATTGATCGATGAAGCTTTGTAAAAGGAAAAGATAAAAACGTTTCCTAACGATTATCTATCCAATAATTTTTTTGCTACTTAGGAACCAGACTGTCCCTTCTCTTGTTAGAATCTTTGGTGTCTGGCTGTCAGGTATATAATTGATATAAATATTTTTTACTTCTGCTTTCTCTCATTGCTCCAATACAACGAATGACACATACCAGACGAAAAGAAAGAGAAACCAGCCAAGTGCATTCATTAGCTACATTACCAAACAATTCTTAAAGGAATTCGTAACGCTAAGCAAATTACAGAGCAAATTTATTTTATTTAAAAAATATTTCAACAATATTTTAATGAATGAGTTGCAATTTATGCCAATTATAGAATAAAAAATATTTAGTATACAGAACATTTCGTAACAACCACTCCTAATATATCAGAAAATATATAAGTCGAAAAGTTTACACATTAAGTATCAGAATTTAACATTTAAGTTAGGGAAAAACGAAAATGCTATCGAAATCTAGCTAATCACTACTGAGAAGGGTGAGGTTTAAAATATCAAAATACGTTTGATTGCTGGAAGAAAAAGAATTGTTATCAACATCAGACAATCAAATTGATTTCGATATTTTTACTCCCATTTTCTTCATCAGTAATTCGAAAGTTTCTTGTAGTATTTTTGATATTCATTGCTTAAATATTAATTTTTGACCCATAATGGGTATATATATTTGACTTCGTTCTTGACAAGGATTATACAACTATATATTACAGAACACCCTGTTTTTTCAATTTTAATCATAATAGAATTAAAGCAATTTATATTATTATTTATATTGCTATAACATAAATAATATTATGTATATTATTATTTATATTACAGTATTTATATTAAAGCAATTTATATTTTAAATCAATTTATATAATTAAAGCAATTTATCTATGGCAATTTATATTATTTGTAGCAATAATAATTTATACAGCAATTTATAATTAGCAATTTATCTATATATACAGTTTGAATTGACTTGATTTTCTTAAGAAGACGTTTTTTAAAAAATAAACAATATAAGAAAATCTTTAAAACTTGTTTTAAAGTACGTCATTTTTCAATAAATTAATCTAATTTATTTCTTAAAGTTTCTCAGTGTGTGAAATAATTTAAAATGCTTATTATATTCTCTTGAAACATTAAATGAATAAGTTCAAAGAATTTTGGATAGTCTTTTAGACATTTATTCTAAAAGAGAGTCATGTAAAAATATAAAGAAACATAATTTACTCGTCAAAGAAGCTGAAAGAATTATTATATACTTGTCCCAATTCTTTCAAAGTATGTTTCTGAAAATATTGTCTAGGGACTACTTTATAAAGATATCTTTGTTGTGTCAGCCAAACCCTTCATCTTCTTATTCAGTGTACAGTTGACAGCGTCTTTAGATAACCAGCGAGAGTAGGACGTTTTGTGCAGAATTTAAACGAGTTTGTGCCGTATTTGTAACTAATACGTTTACATAAAAAAGAAAAGAAATTGAAGAAAAATTATTGTCTTAATAAACGCATTTTTCCTCATACAGTTTTAAATTTTAGTTTTTAGAAATATAAGTTGTTGCTTAATATCTTTAGAATCTGAATTTTCCGGAATTTTTTCCTTTTTTATGACATTACAAATACCTGAATGGTTAATTTTAAATATTTTCATGTCAGTTACATGATCATGATTAGAACTTGTATGAGATATTTGGTTCAAAAACTAGTGTGATAAATCCTTTTTTTTTTAAACTTAATTTTCTCCTTGAGTTTTTTCCCCAAGTCTTTTGCTTATTATTTAACCTTTATAAGACATTTCAAAATAAATACGTCCTTTCCAAAAATGCTTTTTTTAGTTGTTGCCCAAATTTCGCGTGAGTTTCATAATAGTTACAAAAAACAACAGTGAAATAAAAAATAATTACTAAATCAGCAAAATATATAATATTACAGTCATTAATCGTTTCGACGATGAAAATACTTTTGCAATAATCCTGTTCTAGGATGTTGTTTGGTAGGATTTACTTAAACTCTAACACCTGAATGAGAAATTATATGGTTTTTGGGCTTGCTTGTAAAACTTTTAAAGCTTAATTAAGCTCGTTTCGATATCAAACGCATCATGCGTTTGATGTTTTAAAATAAAGAGTAATAGTTTAAGAAGAGAACTAAAAGAGAATAAACTTAGAATGATACTGGAATTTTTAAATTTTTTTACTGAATGTAAAAATACAAATGTTGTGCCTAGAGAAAAGAATATTCTCGTCCCATTATATAAACAAAGTAATTGTGATGGTTTTAAGAATAGAATTTTTAAAAAAAGAAAATAAACTTAGGTCATAAAATAAATCATAGTTTGAAAAAATATTTAACTTTTCCTAACTCGAATAATAATCTGTAATTTTATTTAATAAAGTCAGTTAATTTTGACTTCAATTTATACAATGTTTCTAAATATATAGTATTAGGTCGGTTATTATGAGAAAATTTGTATTGAATATGACTATAATTAATGCTATGCATATGCCATGCATCAGAAAATTATGGTTAACATAAGTATGATTATTATTCAGCATTTCTTATCATTTTATCTTATCATATTATCGATTATTGTATCGATTGAATATTCAAAATTTGATAGAATTCTAGTTTAGAGTTTCTTGGTTTTTGTTTTGCTTCCTATCGCTCACAAGGTGAGCTTGGATATTTTTGTAGAACCGTAATAAAAATTTCTTTTTTATAACAATTATTTTATAACAGTCGTTAAACTGCTGACCCATTTTTGGGCTTACGACTATCAATGTTTAACTCCGTAGCCTTATAATTTGGATTCCAACCCCGAAGACAGGGGATCCTAGATCAAATTAGGACAAATTAGGATTTGAGAATGACTTTCTGATGAAATAAAATTATTTTGGCTTTACACGTAGATGTAAACCATGCCCGACGGCAAGGGGATTCTAACCCATGATTCTATCACTGAGGATATTTTTACGTCAGCTTTGTGGTGGGTGTGAGCAGGAAACATAATTCGTATCCGGAGCTTGATTTATCATAAGGTCAGAGAGGCCTGGCTCTAGGATACCGGCTTTACTGGCGGTTCTCTAAATATTACAAATATTTTTTTGTGTGTTTTCCCTTAAAACTTGTTGGTTATTAGAATGAGTTAACAAAAACTGAATAAAATATAAGCTCAAATTTACAAAGAATTTCATTTTACTTATGTTATAAATAATTGAAAAAGTATTTTGTAGATGAACAACGCGGAAATTTCATTAAAAGTTACGACCAGTAGGGTCCCAGCCGAATCTCTACCTTATAGACCCCAGATTTCCTGGCCCTGTTCGTATTCACCAGCCATCGCTCAACTTCAAACTTTGGTCAATTCTTTGATAGGTGAGAGTTTTATCCCTTGAGCCACCACGGCTCAATATAACAAATACTTTTATTTTATAACCGTCGTTGAACAGCTACACAAATTTGAGTTAACCAAACTCCATAATCTTGCAATTTCGATCTCAATCCAGAAGTCAAGGAAGCTCCTGGATCAAGTATTGAGAAAAATTTGCCATCGGGGAGGATATTTTGATGAAATTAACTAGCATTTGCTTTACCTTGAGAGGAAAACCACGAAAACCTGCCATGGTTAGCCTAACAGCAAGGGGACTCCAACCCATGACCTGCTTATCACTGAAGATATGTAATGTTAGCTCTGTGATTGGTGTAAAGCAGGTGCGGAATTCGTTTTGACTAGCCATCGCTGGGATTCTAACCCGGATCATTTCATTGTATGGCGAACGCTCTATCTCCTGAGCTACTACGGCTCGTGAACAAATTATTCTAAATTATTTCATTGAAACATTTAAACTAAAAATATTTCTAGTAATTTTCTAAAAACTTTAAGAATACTGTCTGCAATTTGAAGTTAATATCGTCCAACCTTATGATGATTACGGTGGAGAACGGTTAAGCTGTACTTAGATCAAACATCATCTGCGAGTTTCATTTAGCTCTTCACTTTACTTGAAGCACTAAATCTGAAAACCGAATTTACTTTGGGTAGAGAGGTTGTGGTTGTGCCTCTTATACTCAACAGAACCACACTGAAAGATAAGTTTCCCCGCCCAGTTTCAGAAAACAAACCAATAGGGAGACAGCAATACTTCCTTTCCTTATCTTCCCGTACAGCAGACTTCCCATCTATTCTCTAAATTTAAATGGAGGATCCTTGTTCAAAGTATTCGGGGGATTATACCTCGGGGGGAAATTCCTAGGAGATCCCTGG